TTCTGAGGCTCCGTCTAACATACTTTGGACATACTGTGAGGAGAGACAGGTCCTTGGAGAAGGACATCATACGTCGGAGGGTGGAGGGACAGCACAGGAAGAGAAGGGCCTCTATGAGGTGGATTGACTCAGTGACTGGGATAATTGGGATGGGAGTGTCAGAGACAGTGAGATTGGCACAGGATAGGACAGGGCTGTTGTACCAAGCGTCGCTATGAGTGACAAGCAACTCGAGGGCACATAAAAACAACAACAACAACCGCTGGATTGGTAGCACAATTCCTTACCATTAGCAACTAGAGCTTGATCCAGGTGCAGTCACTATCGTACCTTCATCAAGTTGCCTTCTGTCACCCTCCTTTTTACCAGAAGTTCTCCTAACCTTTTTTCCAATATCCATGGTAAAGTACAACCTTCTAACATTTTGACAATTCTTAAACTGCACTCATGTTGCATACTTTGTCATGTTGCTTGTTGTTGTGGTGTACTGTCAAGTTTTGACTAACTCATAGCTGATCCTCTGCCAGATTTTCACAGGAAGTTAATTCCATGAGAGGAGATTGTCCATCCTTCACCCTCAGAGCAGCTGAAAGCCTCACATCAATTGCCTTCAGGATTGCAAGGCAGCTTATTGCAACAAGGCCATCTGGGTTCCCTTGGGCATGTTGCTGGGAGTAGATATTCCGTGGAGAGGGACACTATGCTTGGAAAAGGGGAGAGGTGGTGAGTGAACTTTTCTCATAATTGTACTTTTTTGACTGACTTATGCCATTAAGCAAAACTAATTTCCTTTCATTTCATCCATGATTGGAATTTGTTCTTATTGTTGTCATGTTGCCTGTGACTCATGGCTCACCTATGTATAACACCTCTGAAGCTTGACTTGTCCTGAGCCAGTCTAATAGGCTCCAACTCACCTATCTCCAATGCCCTAGTTACTATATCAATCCATCTCACCTGGGTTCTTCCTTGCCTGTGTTGTCTTTCCACATTTCCTTTGCCACGGATTTCTCACTTGATCACATGCCCAAAATATGTGAGACAGAGGATCAAAATCCTAGCCACCAAGGGGAAACTTGGTTTCATCTTCTCTAAGAAAGACCTATTTGTTTTCTTGGTGGTCCATGGTACGTTCAAGACTCTTCTCCAACACCAAAACTTAAAGGCATCGATTCTGCTTCTGTCATCCTTAATAGCAAGGAATTGCAAAGACCATGACTGGATCAAGCAGGCCTTAAACTCTTTAAAGACACTGCTGCTTTTCAGTGCTATGGAAAGGTCCCCGATGGCACATTTACCAAATACCATTGATCCTTTGATTTCTTCATTGCTGATGCCGTACGTGTTTATTGTGGAGCTGAGCAAGCTCTAACTCTTAACCTCAATCTCTTCTGCATTCATCATACTTATGCCAATTGGCCCAGTGGTTTGAATCTTTGTCTTCTTGATATTGAGCTTCAATCCATAGTGAAGACTATAGTTCTTGTCCTTC